TAATATTTTGATCATATGACGCATTTTCATCAAGATACATGTACATAATTTTCTGCATCAAAATTTTTTTTGACTCTCTGTTGGTGTTTGTTTTTCAATATCGAGCCTCTTATAATTTGTTACATAGTTGAAGTAGTTCTTGAGCATTTGTGTCTACACTTAGTCTATCTGAAGTGTCACTTTAAAAGCTGTAGTTTGAATGTCAAAGAAGTTAATTTCCAGGTTGCTGTTGACAAACTTATTGTTCATTTTTAATTATTTTTTTTTGTCAATACAACACAGTAAGTTTTTCTATATTATTGAGTTGATGTATATGCCTTTGGCAAAGCTAACATCTGCCTTACCCTATTGCCTTTTCAAAATCAAAGGTGATGATACCTGTGACAGTAATACAGTACAAAATGTGTACATCAGCATGTGCCTCCTACAAATAAAGACTTGTTTTTTTTTGATACACTGTGGTTAAATTCGTAATAATAGCTCCGTAATCCTGTGATTTTAGCAGCATTTTTTTGTTGGCCGAATTTTTTTTTTTCGCCCTCTCGCATTAGTTTTGGGGTCTTCAGAGGATGTCATCCATAAAATTAAATCAGTGTGGCCTAAGGATAGTATACTGATGTTCACAATTTGATAGTATTTAAGTCAAAACAGACTAAAACATAACTTAAACTAGTAGTTTGTTTTTAAGTGATTTTGATATTTTGTTGACTTTTACTCCTTCTATGAATTGGCCAGCGAAGTTTTTCGAAGTATTAATACATGCAGTTTTAAAAGCGGCGTATCCGGAAGATCCGGATACTAGCAGTTTATTTTTTATTTGCGCCCTCATCGGTGAACAGGGTCGGCCAATCTCGACAAGCTTCGGTGATTTTCGTAAAACGAGGCCCAAAATCAGGTAGGACGCGTCATATTTTTCTTTTCACGTGTTGTTTTCTGCTACCCTGTTTACGTTTTTTCGCCAGAAAACGCCTATACCAGTTTATTTTTCCACACCTTTCGTCTGTGCCTAACTGGATACATTTGAATGCTTTCCAGAGTTGTTCTGAGTCAAAGTAAGCGGCTTTGTGAAGCGTCGTTTACGACTCTTTGTTCGTCGTCGTCCACGAAAAATCTTCGGGCTGTAAGCCGACTAATTAGTAATTACCCTAATCAGATTCTACTCACCGATAATCCCGCGTTCACCGGAAAGGTAAGAATGGATGGATTTGCTCGTATGGTGTGGGAAATATGTTGTTTTTCTTTGTGTTTTCAAGAAACGTGTTCGGAGCGACGTTTACATTAATTTGCATATTTGGCTATAAAACGCTGAACGACAAAAATAGGTCACGCCTCTCGCATACTAGACGCAAATTTCGTGTTTGGCTCATCTATTAGTTGTTTTCCCAAGCTTCAATATGATTACAAGTTAATGTAATCAACGTATATTCTTCTTTCAGCGTTTTTTATCTGGTTCAAGCGTGAAATTTGGGCGCTGGTTCGACGACGAGGAGTTCCCGCCACTTCCACCGTACGATCCAAATCAAAAATTCAGCATGGTGGATCACGATGATGGTAATGTAATACGGGCACGTGGTTTGCCTTGGTCCGCAACTGCTGATGAAGTTAGGAGCTTTTTCAAAGGTATCGTACACTCGGGAATGACAGTAGTGATGTTATTTAAACTATTACTCCAGAGAAGCTAAACAAATGTACTGTTTACATTTTGCACTGTCTCTGTTTTCGTTTTGTGATTTATGTGAACATTAACTAATAATTTAACAAATGAATTCGTTTTATGTGGAATTAGGGCACGTTTGTACTGTAGTAGTTCTAAGACAAGTTATTCAGTGATTTTTACAGTTCTGAAGTGAAATTAGGGTTAGGGCCTTGCAAAAGTTCAGCATAGTTAGAGCATGGAGGTAGAAAAGAGGAGTGAGGACGCTATTGTTTATGCTGGTTTCATGATGCTTTGGATTTATTTACTCAGTACACAATGTAATTAGTTTGCAAACATGCTGTACAAATGTCAGTGTTTCGACTGTATTCGAAAGCCTCACGAAGATTCTCAATGCACTGCGCATGCCCAAACAGATAACAATAATACAGAATGCAGTGAAAGACGTACGCTGAGTGTACTCAACGCTCGAAATCTGTTAAAACAAAATGCGTGATTTTAAACATCTGCACAGTTCTGCACACCAATGAAAAATGACTCGTCAAAACATCTTGTTATGATCTTATCATGTATCTTTAAATTTTACTGCGGAAATTTGCGTGATTTTTTTAATCAATGTCCAAAGTTGGACGACTATTGCGATGAAAAATATCAGAAAAGAAGTAATCACACATCTTGGTGGCGTCCGTATGCAGAATTTCCTGTACCTACAAGTGTGAAATGACCTTTGTGATCCGATAAAGGTCATTG